TCAGCCTGATATCTGCAGACAGCTAGTGAGCCAGCGCTTTAGCCACCAGGCTACACAGCAGGAACAAAGTACACTGAACAGTGTGCTCACTCTCTCATGGCTTCACCTCTCATAAGCAGAGATGATAACAAACACAAACACGGAGCTCAGATCAGTGTGCACAGCCTCTCCCAGTCTATCCCTGCAGATATGATTGTTTGATTCACTACGAGAAGTCCGGAGTCAGCTACAGCCACCCAGAGTCAGGACAGCTATGTGTGCTTGTAGTAAACTACTCACAGTGCAGGCTTTGGGACTTGTTGTGACACCAGAAAGCTAATGTATTCAGCTTTTTTTTCTTTTTTTTTTAACTGAAAACCAGCTTTTTGCACATTGTACATTGTAATAACCCAATGTTCACTGTAGACGTTTCACACATAATTCAAATTAAGAAAATCCCTTCAAATCTTCCATTTATCCTCACTATGTCTGCACTGCCTGTTTCCTGCTGTCCTCCCTCTCTGTCATTCTGACTCCCTTTATGCCTTTGTCGCCCTTTGTTTTTATGTCTTTCTTGTCTTCATTATTGTCAGTTCGCAAATCAATCAGTTACCTAATCTGAGGATCTTCTTGTCTGTTTCTGTCTTCCTATCCTATCCTATAAGTCACTGATGTGTAAAATCCATCCTAAATTTACGTTGTTCTCAAGTCAACATTCCCTCCCTATTTCTCTACTTCATCCACTATTTCATGGCTTAACATATCCCAGAAGTTTTTTTTCATTTTATTTTCTCTCTCCACTCTTTTCTTCCCTTGAACCATTCATCTATCTTCCTTTAACTTGAAACACCTTGTAACTGATAGCTTATAAAACTTCACTTTCCAAGTAGCCTCTAGCGCTCCCTTTTTTCTCCCTGTCTCTCACGCTCTCATCCATTTATCTATTGGAGGCTGACATTTCTCCATACCTTTTAATCGCGCTCCTCTCCACATGCCAATTCTTTTTTTTTCTCTCCATAACTTTCACACATCATCCATTCTTTCAATTTTCAGTGTTCTCAGATTTATATGCCTTAACCTTCACATCACATATTTTTAAAATGCAATAAGCTCTTAGTTTCCTTTCTTCACTCATCATTCTTTGTCCCTCATCTGAATGAGTCTACATTTCAATCACCTTTGTCACTCCATAACCAAAATTTCCCTCTGTATTGAGGAATGTCTACCTCGCACACTGCGTCTGTCTCTTTACTGTATCTACCAGAGCCTGTTAGCCATTAACGCTTTTCTCCTTCTCTGATGCGCTCCATTCATCTCCACTTCAAAACTCTTCCTCATTTTCCTCTTTTCTGTCTGAATCTCCGTCACTGTAAGTATCTGAACCAGTCATCCCTTCATTCCTCCGGAGGATGGATGGTTTCCTCTAAAGATCAGTCTGATCACACCAGCGCTTTCATTCCTGACTCAAAACATATTTCAAAATGTTACATGTGAAAGCCATTCTCACCCAGCTCTGCTGTCTCCCCACATTAAAGGCGAGTTCCTCAGCAACACCGAGCACTTCAATTAGTATTCAACCTCTGAGGCTATAATTAATGAAGTATATATGGGGCCAGTAAACAGTTTATCTTATTTTGGCAACCTCATTAACTCCACTGAATGATTTATGTCAAGGCTTGTAAGTTTAAAATCCAAATGTTTTCTACAACAGTATGTTGCCATAGTCCAGTCGCAACCAGTCCTCCAACATGAACAACCATGTAGGTTGTTTTTTTCAACCCTCTGATACAACCCATAGGAGTGTCTCCTGAAATGGCGCCTGTACGGCAGCAGGCGTACTGGAACTTGGTTGTCACGGTTACAATAATAAACACGCAGACTGTATCGAGAGCGGCGTGCCAACCTTTGTCTCCATGGTTACTGTGATAACGGTCATGGCTCGGTTAAGTTTTGGCAAAAAAAAACTACTTCCATTTCTTTGTTGTCATGGTTACAATAATAATGGACAAAAACGTGCTTAACGGTCACGGATAATAGAAACAGCATAAACTGCTACGTCCACATGGGAATCGAACACCGATCTCCTGTGTCATAGGCAGTGTTGTGCACGAATGAGGTGTTCATTGAACGCGCTCAGTTATTGGTGAGCGATGAACTGAACGTATCTGTTTGCAACTAATGAACATGAGTGTTGTTCGCTCTGACCAGTCTTTTGAAATGTCTGCCAGTGAATGATGATCACAAGAAATGATTAAGAAAGGGTAAGACCATGAACCAACAGCCACAAAGTTCCTCAATCTAAGTCAAACTCATAGCATTTACACATAAAACATATACTCACATCGGCTTTTCTTATCGTTTTAAAAGCAATCTGTCTGTGACTCTTTTGTAGTAAACAGTAATTCATGTAGCTTTGGAAGTGGCAGTGGTTTGTGAACCTTTGTGTTTAACTTTGAGCTAGCTCTTGTGAAGTGTGAGCTTGCACAGCACTGGTCACGGGACTGTGCGTTGTTGACCCATCCATCCACAGCAACCTCTTTGTTGCTCTATATGCCACATGTCACCACACTTTTCCCTTTGCTCCTGTCATAATTACTACATTTGCTAGATGTCGCCCAACAACAAAACCTAACTATGAGACATAATAACCTGCTGCACAAACGACCCATGGGCTGAGTTTGAGTTGAGGACAGTCTCTCCAGTCTGTTCGAACAAAAGAGGCTGAAGCTATCAAATTCATATCTCCAATAGATGATACGGACACTGACCTATTGCGACAGCACTCTTGAATTCATTCCAATGTGGCATGACCAATTGGACTAATTATGCACAAACAAAATCAATACGCAAAGATCAATAATTTATCTACTGACCAGACAACGCACTTTGTGTAGGATTGAGGCAAACGCTGTTTCCCAACATCTAATAAAGGGCAGAAGTGCTAGGTTCAGAATTCCCCCGTCTGAAAACCACACTTAGTGCTGCAAAAGTTAAAACCACGACCGTGGAGACATTCATCAAAGACCACTACAAAAACGGAAAACCCTGCAGTTTTCAGCTGTCATCGGCTGTATTTATGTAATTTCCAAATTATGTGTTCTTACCCAATCCAAATATTGACTTAAGGTTTCCCGCCCTTCACGTTATGCTTTAGCTCACATATTGATTGATTAGTGGTGAGGGGGAGACGGAAAACCTAGAGTGTGTGTCGAGTTTAATCAGGAGTTCAAACCACAAAGATCTGAGGCGTTGTCAGAACTTTCTTCAGTCTAACTTGTGTGTGTGTGTTTGTGTGTGTGTGTGTGGGAGAGATAAGCAGAGAGATTGAATGTAGCAGTTTGTCCTTACATGTGTTTCTGTGTGACTAAAGGTTTTTGCGGAGCTATAACACGTAGCTAGGTAGCTGAAGTGAGTGTATTCATTTGATTGATTTGATGATTTTTTTTTTTTTGTAATTTCTTTCAAAGAAATCAAAATGAAATCAAAAGTCAAAATGCCAATTAAAACTTCCAAAGAGGCCAAATAAGGTTGTTCCATTTCTTAATTGTGTTTGATAGTCAATAGTCAGATATAGCAATATAACACTAAGCAATTGAGAAGCATGATCCAGCTAATCCTTGTTCTTCATAAATCACATTGAGTCAGTGATTTTAATAGCTGTAATTCATTTCCTGATGATCAATCACAAACAGTAAGCTCCCAGTTCATTTCTGTGAAGGGCCTGAAAGCTGGCTAATGAAGGGGGAGGGCTAAAATCAAGGGTGTCTTGGGGTTTACTCATCTCACGTGCATTTACATCCTTTGATCAGCTTCTTTGAACCAGGCGAAAACAAAGCCAAGTGGGGCCAAAGGATCCCCGTGGGGTGCCTGAAAATTATCGACTACATGGATAATTTAATAAAGGTTATTTAATATATAATTTATGTATATTCTACTAAGAGTAAAATCCCTCACAGTGGTTCAAACCAAAGAAAGTAAACTGCTGTGGTAGTTTAAAAAAAAAAAAAAAAAGACAGAGATAGAACAGAAGGAAAAATATTAAAATATTCATGTAGCTTGGTAGTACCAGAGACAGAGACACTCATCGAAGGATACACACAGGGATGGAAAGACTGAAAAACAAAATGTGTATCGGTCTATAATTCATGTACGTGTCCATGTGTGTTTCCATGTGAAGGTCCGTAACCCAAGTTCTTGGAACAACACCTTTTGCAAAGCATTGACGTGCGTGATAACAGCCCTGCAACGTTAGATCTCAGTAGACACGGCTTTCATCCCAGGAATTCTATAGTGGACACATGTGCTTTTACTATATGAAGCCCTCGGGGAAATGAACCCAGAAGAAACAGTCAGATACAGTAACATAAGCAGCTGAGCGATTATGTCTGTCTGACCACAGATCAAACTCAAATGACTGCAGGTTGAACCAGAGGCATCTCCCTGGGTAATGAATTTTTTTTAACATAGACCTGTTTAATTTACTTTGGGCAAAACTACTGACCACATAGGAAAATATAAGTGCAGCTCATTTCTGTACTTGCCTGAAAAAAATATGTGATAAGCTAAGATTGCCATTTCCTTGAGAGAAATATTTCTGCAATGAGGTGAAACTCTGCAGTGCGTCGGAAGGTCAGTGTTTTTCTTTGGCACAGCACTTCCAGAAAAGATATAATAACCAGAGGTTTTCAAATGCCAAGTAAAGGATCATACTCTTGCAAGTGTTTTCCAATGTTGACTCACAGCTTTTGGTAATGGAGACATATGTGAACAAACACTCTTGACCATTTATAACCTCCTTCATTTTCTGCTCATGGTTTAGTCATTACATGACACAAGATTTTCTCTGGATGAGCTAGTGAAACTCAGTCATATGGTTTTATTGGCTCCATTGGATAAAACATTTTCCACACTGGATTCGTACCCCATCTTGACTGCTTGTAAATGACATAATGATATGTGAATATCACAGACACACACACACACACACACACACAGACACACACACACATAGCGCTACTCACATGCTGCCACTGGTCTCGGATGAGTGGCCGGTACCGAAGGAAGTATTTCAGAGGGAAGTTGTCGATGTCCGGCCAGGTGGCGGGGCTGTGCCAGGATACCTCCAGCCTCCGAGGGTTGAGACGGATCGGGGTCGCCGTCACGCGCTCCGGGGGATCTGGTTTGACTGTAGGGTGGATAAGAATAATTGTTTTAAAGGGTCTCTCCACATATTTAACGCAGTTTCAGTTCGTTTGTCATCAAGAGAAAACAGCTGTGTAACGTCTTCTGTGGCTCTGGAGGGAGATTTCAGAAGTCTTAGAAAATGATGATGTCATCTCGAGTTACGGTGCATTCAAAGAAGGGTCCTGCGCTGCACCTTGTGCATGAACTCTGTGTAGTACAGTACCACCTTACCTACAATCTTAATGTTGCTAGCAGAGTCTCAAACAGGGTTTTTGTAACAAACCTGGAGGCTGCATCAGCATGCTGATGCTTCGCCTGTCTTGTGTCGACATGAGGCCAACAACAATTGGATGCACCCACAAAGGCCAGCATAGCTTGGCTCAACAAAGTTCAACAAATTGAAACCTTTGCCTCATCACGACACCTACACAATCATGGAGGAGGAGTGCGCTAAAGCTGTTTTTCCACGATAATTTGAAGATGCCTTTGGGTTCATGGCTTCAGATATATGAGGCATGAGGTAAGATACGGCCAAATGTGAGAACAGGAATTGAAGTTCTGGAGAGATGTAAGTGTATAGGAGTAGAAGCGTTGTTGTTTCTGAATACATGTCCACTGAGAAAGACATAGACAGAGAGATGGAGAGAATTCAAGTCGGTGCTTTTCAGCTGTTATTGAACGACCCAGTCTTTGTTAGATCACTTGAACTGCCACTTTAGCTACTTGACACCTTTTCTCAACCATACATACACACACACAACGTTACAATACAAAGTGGATAGGGGCAGATACAGCCGGAATGTCTGGTAACGTACACACAGATAGTAGCAAAGGCTGAGAGCAATTCAGGTAAAAAGCATAACAACACACATGTAGAAAAATGTGTAAACAGAGAATACAGAGGCAAATACAGACAGACAGACAGACAGACAGACAGACAGACAGACAGACAGACAGACAGACAGACAGACAGACAGAAGATGACAGACAGGTATCTCTTTTACTGATATGACCTTCACAGAATGAATGATTAAAAATATGAAAGATGGATGGAGATGATAAGAGACAGATAAAAGCAGTCGGGCAGCGTTCTCCCTTGAGAAAGAGATGTGAATCTCTTCAAGTAAATGTGTAAAAAGATGAAATGGGGAAGGCAAGACAGAAAGAGAGGGAAGAGAAAGACAAGTGCATACAGGCAGAGTGAAACCAAAGTGAAATCATTAGAGACCAAGGAGCAGAAATTCTTTGTCCACACCAGCTTTGTCCAACCAGCACATACAAGCACTGAAACAAAACGGAAAGAAATCCGTATGGGCGGGTCGTCCCAAAGGCTTTTAAAGTATTCATCTGCCTCTAAACACAAAGCATTAGCTGTGTGTTTAATGAGAAATGACCAAGCACCGCTAATAGTACTAGAGCTGAAAAAAAGCTTCTCTTACATGAACAGTCTGAAGTCCACTGAGACACTTGTGATTTCACTGACCAATGCAGATTTTAAAGAAATAATCTGCTAAAATGTACAAGTGATGAGCAACACATTTAAGGCTCAAAGACTTTCACGGTGTCTATGACACTTGTACAAGTATTGTTGGAGGTAGGTAGACATTAGCTACTTTTGTCAACTGCTGATATATTAGAAGATCCATGTGGGTGTAAAAACTAAAAGATGTTGAAACAGAAGATTGGTAAAAAAAAATATAAAAAGAAATAAATAAAAATGAAGTGTGATTAGAAGGTCTCATTTTATGAGATCCCTTGTTGTGCCTGTCCATGCTTGGCCTGAAAACATCTGTCATGCCTCCCTCGGCTCTGTTCGTTCAAATCTGCGTCCACATCACGGTCGCTCTTTCCTCAATGTCACGTTGCAACAGTTGCCACCGCCTGCTTTTTCTCTTTGCTTGTGAACAGGTATAAAATGTCTAACCTTTCAAACAGCTACTTGCGAGACCACACAGCGCAGTGCCGGCTGAAAATAGGAGGACAGAGTAGGAGACAGACTGCATGGCTAATCTTTCTTACTAAAAAGACAAAAAAAGAAAAGTTGCTGAAAGGTTGTCCCGCTGGCTACAGTTATGCAGCAAAAAGAAAAAAAGCAATAAACTGTTAGAGATCTGCTAAAGCTAAATCTGTATCTAGAACTTAATGTACCGATGTGTGTCTAAGCTCATCCACGTTTTTCTTGGAATATCTCATTGCAGTTTTTCTAAATCCATTAATATACTGTACGTCATCTACTTCTTTGACTTAACGCATCCAGGTGTGACTGCATGATAAATAATAAAAAAAAAGGTATCTAAAACTCCATAGCTTCACTTTCCCGTGTCCTCACACTACAAAATCTTTCCTTTAAAATAAATAGCCCTTTCAAAAAGATCAAAAATGTGGAATGTACTCGGTACCGGATGACAGTATCTATCGGTGCACTTGAACAAATGGGAAAATGGGGAGAAATAAGAAATAGAGTGCTTCAATCTGCAGCAATATCTTACAAAAATAACTTAAAAAGGAAAATGGAACAAAAGGGGTGCTCTTCTGAAAACTGTGGCCACTCCATGTGCAATATGGCACCATTGAGTGCTGCAGGGATCACATATTTTTGTAGGCCTATTCAGAAGTCAGTCACCATGGTTCCCCTAGACAAAAAGCCAATGGGATTTTTCCATTGGCTTTTGCGTTATTGCATAAAATGGGTTCTGTGACAAACAAAAGTCCATAGCACTTACAAGATTTATTTAGCAAAATGATCACAAATGCACACCACTTCTTTGATTTTTGAAGCCTAAATACAGAACAAGTAAAAAGCTAACATTAGGCTATACATGATCTGCACCACAGTTGCATGACTTCACTGTCACCACTACTTATTCAGGCATCTCACCAAAAGCCAATTCCAAAACCCTATTCACTTTGGGTCCAGGTGCAAAAATGCTTATTTCCAGATGTTAGGATTCGTTTCTGCAGCAAAAGTTGATACATACCATTTTAAGTATCAAAATCTGTGTCCACATTAAACAATCAACTTGAAGCCTCTGTCTACTTGTTGCAAGTAGACTATGTTGAGATTATCTGGAGTTAAAGCAGCTCTCAAAATTTTGCTATTGTTGCAGAGCAGACATTAGCATTAACGGCTGTAACATTTACCAGTGTTGCCGAGAACTTTGGTCATAGTTGCAATTATAATACAAGAGCTTATAATCCGCCCTCTGAGCAGCTCTACTTTTTCAGGGCAGCCTGGACATTATATTGACTCGGTATCAGAAAGTGGTGAGATGGGCCCGGCCAGGCAGGAGCTGGTTAGCATGCTAAATTCAGTGGAAGAAAAAAAGGGATAGAAATACAAACAAAACAAGAGGGTTGCTTTCCACCACTGGAGACATCTCTTGGTGAGTAAAGGAATGAAGTTTTATGCTGAACTTGGTACATTTCTTGTAGACTGGTAAGTAAACAGCTGGTGATGCTAACGCTGGCTATGTAGCATTAGCAAGACTTACAAATAGCTCCTTTAACTGCACTTAGTGTGTCAAAAGTGTTATTCTCCTAAACTTTGAGCACAGGCATTTCATGTGTGTACAATAATGTTTAGCGTCTTTTAATTGATTGATACTGAATGGCATGGCAGTGGTAGAGCATAAAAATTAGATTACTGAAGCTGATTCCACATTGTCTCACTTAACCAAATTTACATAGTTTCCTGTAAAAGCATAGGCCTACAGAATTTAATAAAAAAGTAATATGTCCTAAATTCACATCACTGCTCTTATTTGTTTAAATCTACGTCAGACAAAGAGAATAAATATGAATTTTTAAAAAAGCACATGCTTTTCTTCTTTTAAAGGAAGTGGCACATTACAAAGTCACATTAGATGCTATAATATCTTGAAACTCTGACTATGGGGAGTCATAACTTATGCCAATGACAACATTCGTCGACCTTTCATCTCCTCATCCTGTGATGGGCATACAACAATCTGATCTGCAACTTGAAGGCAGCTCTGGATTTGGGTCTATGTGCCTCAGAGACTTTAAGCTGAAAACTGCAATTGTACAACTGGTCTTAAGAAATCAGCTGCTATACTAGAGACATTTGCACTTGTTAGGTTTTGTGAATGACAGCAATTAGTGCATCTCTCAGTTAATATGACTAAGCCTCTGCCAGCTGTAGGGGGGCTTTTTTTAGTGGTCGATGCCAATCTCTGACCTCCCTCGTGCAGAGAGCTGGGTCTGCTAGAATCAGCAAAATATCACAACAAGTACATTTTCTTGTTCTTTCTGCTGAATAAATAGTCTTGAATAACAAATAAGCTTGTCAGTGCAGCCTGTGCTACTCACTTGGTAATATGGAGAAAACAAAAAATTAGACAGCTACTGTAAATAGCACTGGGATGTTGTTGCTGTATTAAGCATTAAAGTGTTTTCAACTGGCTGTCATTAACCTCTTCACTTTTAATGACTAAAATTTACTTTTACTGGTTACTCATGAGGGTGCCACTTTTTTTTTTTTTCTCCTAAAACAGCCACAAAGTTGCAAAAAATTAAACCTGAACATGATCTGATCCCTGATGAAAAGATCACTCCACTTATCAGTCTCAGTTGAAAGGATGACATAGGTGAGAGAGAATTTAATGTCGCTGCTGAAAAGCTACTGTTGCTTTTTTCACCCTCTGAAATTAGGTTACATTGTATTCATTGTAATCGCGATGAATGGGTAACATAGTACTGAATGACAGCAGGTGCCCAGGTGGGCTAACGTTTGAGCTGACAAAAAAAAAAGTTCTTTGTTGTAAGTAAAAATGCTTTAACTGTAGAAGCCTTTACACTTCGGTTATCGTTTGATCATTCTGACACTAGAAAGTTTTTAAGCTATCGTTTGATGAGTCTGGAGCTTCCTTGAGGGATCTCTTTGTAACTGTACCCACAGCATGTGCACACACACACAGACACACACACACACACACACACACACACACATACACACACGATCTCATCTCATCTAATTTTATCCCAGCTTTGGTCGGATGAACAAGGACAGTTGAGAATTGTCTTACTCCCACTCAGAATTCAGAAGTGCACCAGGAAGCATGAAATTGTTTTATTTATTTACGATCTGCCTCGTTGTCCCTGAAAATGAATGTGACTTACAACTTCGAATGGCATGAGAGCGACTTTTAACAATGCAGGAATGAAGAGGAGATGAGGGGAGGAGAGAGAGCGAGAGAGAGAGCAAACACCATGAAACAGTCAGAAAAGTCAAGCAAAAAAAAAAAAAGAGAAACGTGGAAAAGAGTTGAGCAAGACCACGTCCACACTAATTATGATAAATCTGAAAACATATTTTTAAGATTTGGCCTTTCAACTAGCTTTCTCTTGAGTAAAAAGAAACAGATCTGTTCTCTCTTTGTGATCAGTGACAACAGCTGTATTACATTATCAATTATACTAAAACAAAAAGAAAGTGATCATAGACGAAACACAGGCAGAAGTCTAGTCATGTAATTTACCAGAAAGTGGCAATAAAGCATTTTATTGTTTGCTAGCTGCAAATTAACTAAAGGATAAAGATAAAGAGGAAGAAATTAAAGGGTTTATTTTAGGATTAAAACTTTTAGTAATCGATCTGAAAATAATAGTATGGATGGAAGATATTTGTCACACATATGACATTTTTCAACTTATCTGGGAAGATTTGGTTGATGATGGCAAAGAAATTGAGAAGGGAGGGAGGGAGGAGAAAAATAGGAGGGGAGAGAGGAAAAAAGAAAGAAGTACAAAGTCACAACAAGGGCATGCAGGAATGAAAGAGAAAGCAGAGGGAAAGAAAGGAGCAGTGGGGTATTTTGCTATCACCAATAGTTGAGGGATATTTCCTCGGCCAAGGCGCTAATCCGGCTAGCATTAGCATTTTCATGAGTCCTGTGTCCGGGGCTTGGCAGAGCATGTCACTGCCTCATTTGGTTACTTATGTACACACACACACACACACACACACACACACACACACACACACACACACTCTCTCTCTCTTTCTTTTTCAATACAGCCTCTCAACCGGCTCACTCCACACAATCGCTCATAGCCCCATTGGTGTCTGTGTGTGTTTATGCGTCATGCACACCCATATCGCGCTCTAAGCAATACAACAGCGCAGAGGACTGCTGGCAGCACTTCGCTTATCTATCAAAGTACTCCTCATTCCTTCTTTAAAATGAATTTCTCCCCTCCACTGCTTTCCAGTCTGAGCCGCTTATGAATTCTAAGAGTCTTGCTGCTATTATGTCGCCTTCTGCAACCTAAGTGAACAAAAACTTTGCAATCCAAACTGCATTTTTTTTTTTAAAGTACTTACCACATAACCATGAAGGTTGCAACTTAAAAGACGGCCAATGAACGCGCTCACTCTTAAGGTTCACTTTTATATTTCAATAAAGAGCTAAATGGCAGCTGGTGTTTGGCACGTTTCAACGAGAAACCAGAGCATTGATTTATGTCACATCCAGTCCAAGCCTCAATTAAATACTGTCTGCTGCAGAAAAGGTTCAGAGGTAGCCTGTTTATTATCTAGTGCCTTTGGTAATGACATGGGTGCACAGTCAGTGGGTTTCTCACTAATGGACTACGCTGTTGGTTAAAGGGGAAAAAAAAAAAAAAAAAACGCTGTGCGCTCTCCTTTCAGCTGGGTGACATTTATTTGGCCACTGAAATTTCAACTTTCTTTGTCTTTCTGGCAGCGAGCATTGCCGTGCGTGCAACAAACCTCCAAAGGGAACCAGAAGTGAATGAAATCAGTCATCTGTGGTCAAACAAATTTTAAAAATCGCTCACGGGTTGGCATCCTCAAAGAGATGACGTGACACTCGGCATTTCCTGTGCCAGATATTTGCCAATCTGTGTGTAAGAAAGGATCTCAGATTTGTCCCTGAACTTAGCTCAGAAAATTTCAATGAAAAGTGTTAATATTGGAATTTCTAAAATTTGAAAACATCTAAAAATGTCAGTGTGTTCCCTTTGAACCCCTTGAATTCAGAAATTTTAATTAAACCATTTCTTTTTGTGGAAAAAAAAAAGTCCTTGTGCTTGCAGCTTCAGCATTGATAAGACTATAATTCATTTTGTATCAAGTTTGACAACGAGGAAATTAGTGATACAAATGTCTAATACACCTGTCACCTTGTAATTGCATGCACACACACCAGAATCAAGAATGGGGCAGAAAACAACAAAACATGTGTCAGTTCTCTTACCTATACTGGACTCCTCAAAAGAGATCATGGTGGAGGCTTTCCCCAAGGCATTGACTGCTGTCACGTTGACTTTGTAAGGGAAGCTGGAAAAGACCTCAGGAAATCGTACATGACAGCGATTCTTGTGGACAGAGTCTTTCTGCACCTCCAGTGAGCGCTGGTTATGTCTGGAGAGGGAAAGGGAAAATAACAAGGAAGAATGTGGATGGAGTAGAATAGGTAAGCAGGAACATGGACAGGTGTGAGGAGGACAGTGAGTGGAGAAGCTTGTGTGTGTTTTCAGCTTCATACACACTGGTGTGTAAATGTAGAGAGAGAGCAGGAAACATACCCCCCCCCCCCCCCCGCCCCCTTTTTTTGTTTAACAGTCTGTGTGTTAAACATCAAAGATAGGATATAATTTTAATTCCAACATTAAAAACTGCTGACTCTACTTCCTGCTTCCTGCTTCACAGAGCAGGACAGCTTGGGTTTGGGACATAGCCAGATTTGAGTTTTACTATCTTTGCTTTTTTTTTTTTTTTTTTTTTTTTTTTTTTTAATACTTTGTAGTTTGGCTTCTAGGCATAAATATGCTCTTACAACTTTATTTTACATTTGTTTGTAGGCAAAAAAGCATTTGAAATGGAGTCATACTGTAAATCTAAATTCTGTCAGCGATAGTGGGTCGGCTACAGTGCTGTTTTTCAGATGCTGTGGATGAAAGAAAAGGGACAAAAACAGTTACGGAGGATGTGAGAAACATTAAAATGAGCATCACTCCACCTGTTGGATGCTGCTCCGCTCTCTGCACACACACACAAAAAAAACAACCTACCTAGACACTAGAGACACTGACACTCTTTAGTATTAATCTCTTTATAGTCTTCTTCATCTATGCTTCTCTCCGTCTCCCTGTCCCACTCTTCATTGTTATTCAAACAGAATAATACTGGTGTTGCAACATTAATGAATTCACCTGCTGGGGTGTGAGCTGTGGGACTCTGTGATGTGGGAATATCAAAGAGAACATGATGGAGACAGACTCACTGGGTCTCCATCCACACATTTTCAGTATTTAAGGTCCACCTACCGTCCTGTTAAAACAGGCCCGGACACCCAGGGAGAGTGAGACGAATAAGGTGTTAAACTACAGTGTGTGAGTCCAAACTGATGATATTTGTTCTCATAAGCACCTTCAGGATAATCTGAGAATGATGTTTTTCACGTCATTTTGTTTATTCAGCTTAAACTTTTATCACTGGACTCTTATTGTTCCTATCTTTTCTGAATGGGTTTCAAATTGGTATTTACCCCCAAGGCAAAACGTTTTCCAAAAGTATGTGAAAAACAATGTGACATCTGTGGTCCAACTTTTTACCTTGGATGCAGGCATGTTTAATTTGTCACTGTATTGAATAAGGAATGCACAGAAATATTATGTTTAGAGAGACATTTTGTGATTAACAGCAATCTGCAAGCATTCGAAGGAGGGAGCAAGGGTCACAGGTTCAGGGTCATGATTCATGAGAAATGTGAAAACTGTGATTGTTTTCTATCCTCAATTTTCATTAAGTGTTTTTTCTACCTAGTAAACCCTGAAAGTTTTACCTGCCCTTGTCTTCTTTGTTGAATTGTTTATGAATTATTATAATTAATTGTATATTTTGGCAAATTAGCACCACAATGTGTTTCGCCTGTGGCTACTTTGATTTTCACTTTAGTTGTTCCTGTGACCAACCAGCACCTGATCGCTAATATTGAATTAGCTGTTCGCAGCTCCTGTTTGCAATGGACCCATGGATGTAGAGACACATACAGTATAACTGGATTACTTTGAAATTGAAGAAAACATAAAAATGTGACGATTCTCTTCTGGGGGCAAGACAGCGTTGGTTTCTTATCATGGTCAATCCAGATGATGATATCTTTTAAAGTGTAAGGTGCAAGGAATCTTAAAACATCTGGATCATGTCTGTGTGTTCTGTGAGTTTACTGAGTTATGACTTTGAAAGTGGAGTAGCTACGGCTTTTGAAACATGTTGCTGTAATCAGACACTAAGGGTTTTAAAGTCCCTTAAATCCTTCAGAACTCCCCTTAAAACTCTTGTTTTTTTGGGTGGACTTTGCTTCGTTTTGACCCATAGTCTTGTCCATCCATGTTATTCATAACTATAGGATTGTGTCTTGTGACCTCAGACTCTGTGAAAGCAATGCTGCTGTGCTCTTAGATCTCAGCAATTACTTAAATTGCATTACGGTGATGGGGAAAAAATCCTTTAATTCAAGCCACTTAAAACAGGCACAGTCTTTGCAGGTCGCACCAGTACACAGAGAGGATTAAAAGATACACAAAACAAGTGCACTTACTGTACGTCCACTTCAAAGGTAGTGGGGATGTACGTTGCGTACAGCTGGTGCCAGCTGCAGTAGAAGCCTTTAGGGTAGGTGTTGGATCGACAGGTGACTGTGGGCTCCCGAGGAGAAACTACATAGAGAGAGAGAAAAAAAACACAAGAAACAAGAACTAATTAAGAACTCTGCCGAGTTTTAGAAAGAGACATGGAGGAAAACAGAGGAATAACAGAGAGAGAGAGATCAGAGGAACATAGATTATTTTAATCACTCTTTCTTATTGAATAAATCATTCCTGATCAAATATGCCATTAAAAACATCACTGCTACTCAGTTTGAGTTAAGTTGTGTTTCTGCTTATGTTTTAGTAGATATGCTTTTAATTCGTTTAGTTATGATTGCCTGCGGAATTTTTTTTATTTATCTTTTTCTTATAAAGCAAATTAAATGAAATTAGATTCAGACAGGGGGAGTAATTAAAGTGGCTTATTTATGTGTTGACTGGAATAACTCAACAGATTTTCACTTATATTTACTGCGAACGTCAAAGACAGAAATCTGATCCCTTGAGTGTGTTTGGTGTGGGACAGCTTCTTGTTACCAAAGTATCAGGTCCAACATCACATTCAGTTCACTGTCCCAGACCTGCTCATTCAGTCCTTCTGTCTGCTAACTCATGTTTTTTATTAATGACTGCAGCAATTTTTTTTTTTTCTAGTGTCATATGTAGCGACTGAGGGAAACATTTTCAAACAGTGAGGAGTTCAAAACTCAACATCTTCTGTTGGATACTTGCCACCCAGGACCAGCGATCTATTTAACAACCTTATATACGTTATTGCAAATGTGAAAAACAGACAGTGCAGAGAAATTTCATCAGCAGAAAAGGAAAAGAGGTAAAGGAGATGGGAGAAATGGAGGGAAGATGGTGTGTGGAGAAAGGAAGGATATTGGAGTGGTGGAGCAAAAGAAGAATAAAAGAAGTTGGGCAGAAAAAAAAAAAGTGATGTTACGCCAACTCAGGCCTCCTCCAAGATTAGGCTCTTTTCTTCACAGCTAGTCAACCGCGCACTCGTCCACCACTCCCTCTCTCTCCCTGCAGCTTTTTACCCTTTTACCCTCGCTATCTGTACTCCATGTAACATACAGTAAGTGTACAGATGTGCCATCACAAAACGAAATTCCTTCTGTGTTCCCCCATTTACTCTCCTTTCTTCTTTAAGTCTTTCCATTCTTTTATTTTTTTTTTATTTTTTTGATCTAAATTGCATCTTTTTCATTTTACACATGGTGCTTCATTGGAGAGGACTGCTGCAGTATATTGCTCTAAGAATATATGGAGCTGGCAATGGGCTTTCATTATTAAATACTGGATATCAGCCAATCAGTAGTACAGCATGTCCTCCTGAAGTCCACCGATAACAGCTACATCCAGACAATTTAATTCTTCATTCACAGTCAGTAATGTACACCAGCATTGACTGGGGCGGGATGGGTCAACCTGTCTTTAAGAGCCACTAACCCTTTTCATTGTGGCGGACATGGGAAAAGCAGCATGAGCTGCTCTGTCGGGCAGGATTCGTCTCCCGTGTGGGGAAAACGATAGCTCAGAGTGTTGTTACAGCACACGGCTTCCAGGGTGTGTCCAAAGAAAAAATGTATTAATTACACAGAACAATGTTACAAAGAGGGGTCTTAAATAACCTTTGTAGGTTTTTTGCAGCAGTTTGATAAAGTTAAGTGTGAATCTCAACAGGTCAGTGGAAATTTCCAGGTTGGGACATTGTTGAATTTGGGTGATAAGCCTGTGTTTGAAATGGTACTCTGAATGTCTGTTCAATAATGGCCTGAAAGTTTATCTGGATGGAGGTGGAATAACTTATCTTGGGATAACTCCACTTTGAAAAGTGGTCACAAAGTGAATAATTACATTGTGTAAAGTAGGTTATTGTCATAAAATTGCAAAATAACTGATAAGGGAAAAGAACCATACGCATTGTATTTTCCTGCATTTAGAGCATCTACCTGGACTGCATTATCTCTTTCTTACTAAAAATCTATTTATTCAAAGAAATAAAATAATTAAAACGATACCTTTTACCTTCTGGTTTTCTTTTCTTAAATTATGGAACAATGCTGATATAAATTTAAAAATGTGTTTAAAAGTGGTTTACAGAGCAATTTTAATATTGTATATAAGCATTTTTCAATCAATCAATCAATCAATCAATCAATCAATCAATTAGTAATTCAATTTGTTTCCATCATCATTTGGTTTAGATTATAAGTGAGCTAAAGGCTTAATCATTAATGGTGCATAAAGCAACAGAAGTGTTGTTACAATAGAACGCTTGTTATGCTGTTGACCATGTCCTGATATCTAATCAATATCAAATTTATTTTCTCTGGCAAAAAGAAACAAGGAGGCAAAGTGTTTCAAAATATGAGAAAAAATTAACAATGAAGGAAAAAGACACAAGTGGAAAGACGAAGAGCAGATGGACTGCTCACTGCAACTTCACATTTAAGTACCACTTAAGTGTTTTCTCTTTGTAGCTCCAGAAAGAAAAAAAAACCAACTAAATCTCAAGCATTTCATTCATCACTGATAATTATTGAAATGATTTTTGCGTGCAGATACATCTTCAGAACCATTATTCTCTCTCTTTTTTTTTTATTGTTTCAGCACTTAGTAAGTGTGGTGTGGTCCCTTCTTTTCTCTCGCTGTCTCCGTTGGCTCACCCTCGGGGTGCTGAAACCTCCCACTTGGATCAATAGTCCTGACATTAATTTGAATTTCCTGTCTTTTGTATTTATGAAGGCTCTGTGAAGATTAATTCACACATTCTGTAGATGCATTCTGTTTAATTATTACATAATTTGTAATTGTCATATCACAACATCTTTGCAACATCGTTTGCGAGCAGCTCCCTCGAGGTGCAATCATTTGGCCACCCAACACACACACACACACACACACACACACACACACACACACACACACACACACACGCCCACAAGCAAGATGTGAGCTTGATTGGCTGCTGTGGGGTCATTTCACTGTCACACACAGCTGCGTTTAAGCGGTCACCACGGCAACTAATTAGCCTGTCAATACAGTCAACAATGAGGTGCCGGGGACGACATCCAATCACACTCAATTAATCACAAGGACTAATTGGGGCCATCTCAATCAATTGGCTCCTCATCTGAGAGCTTCAGTTAAAGTCACAAACAGACAATGTCAAAACACAAAGATATTCACATGTGCATTCACAGTCAGGATGAACACATGTAATTACATGCACACACACACACACACACACACACACACACACACACACACACAATCAGAGCTGCAGGTATTCCTGTAGGCTTTGTAAAATTAGCCATAATTTTATTATATATATATATATATATATTTATTATATATATATTAAGAACTTGGAGGAATTCAAAGACAAAAACTAAGGTTAAAAGACAAAAAATAAAACAGATCTGTGAAGGAGTACGGACGTGAAGAGGATGAGCGTACATGTGACCTCACGCCGGCCTTGTNATAATTTTATTATATATATATATATATATTTATTATATATATATTAAGAACTTGGAGGAATTCAAAGACAAAAACTAAGGTTAAAAGACAAAAAATAAAACAGATCTATGAAGGAGTACGGACGTGAAGAGGATGAGCGTACATGTGACCTCACGCCGGCCTTGTTTGAAGTGGCTTATTTGAACTCTGGAGTGTTTACGCCTTTACTTGAGTTAATTTTGCCGGGGTGAAGCGTGTCAGTCAAACCACAGCTGCGACGTCCTAGAAGGGCAGTTCATACTGTAGGGCTCCTCCAGGGGGTTGTAAGGAGGGAGAGCGTGGTCTGAACCATTGAATACTCCTACTCCTGCATGACCCCACAGCTCGGGGGATTGTGTGAACAAGGAGACAGATGTTGTCACCTCAAGGCCAGCTGCTCATCGCAGTTTGTGTTTTTTTTTAAGCATAGCAGAAAGAAGCAAGACTTGACTTATTCTAATACAAAACACTAAAACTTTGTCCAATGTAAACATTGCTCTGAAGTCCATTTGATTTATGTTTACCAGCCCTGAATTGTTTGTTTGATCAATTTAAACCTTGGACTGTACAGAAAGACAGTTAGGTCATAAACTTTTCTTTAAGTATTTTAACTGGTTTTCTATAAATGTTGCTCCTTTTTTTTTCTTTCTTTTATTATTTATTGGAATAAGTTTGAATCTTCATCACTGTTACTTACAGCACTTCTACACTGTTTTCAGTATTCAGCCTTAATGGCTAGTGCCTGGTTTAAACTTGATGAGCTTAATGCCAAAACACAATATAATAACCATTTCTACAAAGGCTAAGGTTAGTCAGTGTTAGAATAATGGAAAACAAAAAGACAGAAGGATGGATATAAGGACACGAAAGAGGAAGAAAGGGTAATTACAAGAAGAGTAAAAGAGGAGAGTGAGGGGAGGCACGTGGACAATAGAGAGGAGATGAGAATGGACGTAACTCTTTCATCAGATTTTCACTAGATTGGCCTTAAAAAATTTCAGACACACAACGCGTACGCATCCACATAAAGCTGCAGCTCAGTTGCTTCACTAATAATAAAACATCAAAAGCTTTCTATGCATCTAATGAAAATAGATGTTGAAACAGAAAAGAGAAAAAAGGATAAGAGATAATGCACCTGTATTAAAAAAAACAGAACAAAGACAGTATGAATACTAAAGCAAGTAAAACAATAATTCAAATGAAAATGACATTGTACATGTTCTTTTCTTGTGAACCACCCCATGAGATCTCACCTGAGTCTGTGGCAGACAGGACACCACTCATGAATAAATGTTATTTGAATTAGTGCGCTTTCATCATCTGGTTTGAATTGCTAAATGCTAAATGGGATTTTGAGGATGGCCTTTGTTAGCCTCATGAAACACACACCTGCATGTGCACATGCATGTGTGGCTAGTAAGGTTGCTTTTAAATGATAATGGGTCATAGACTCAACTTACTGTAGACTGTGGCTCATAAATTATAATAAGAGTAACCAAGAAAAAAAAAAAGATAAAAACAAGAAGAAAAGAGATATCTTTTTTGTGGAGACA